AGAAAAGCATCACAAATCACGAAGCACTTGGACCCAGCTTGGGACACTCAAGTATTCTCGCAGTGCCAAGATTCAGCGAGAGTCAAAATGGACGTTAATATTAAGTTCCTGACAGGATCAAACATGCTTTGCGCAAACTTAAACAATTTCACAAAAACCCCCTCTATTGGGAAGCGGGCCTCGATACGTCCCCCCCTCCATCACGATCAGCCTTAGGAGACCCCTCGAGTCGACAGCATTTGATTTTGAGATCAGTCGGCACAGTCAAACCACGCTCACTATTTTCCTTTAAAAATGCTGTCGAGTGGAGGGAGGGGGTGGGGTGAGTGAGGGAGGGAATAGATCCAAAGAAGCGGATTTTTCCAACTTTTTCCAACTTCTTATCTCCTTCGTGAAGTTTTCTAGAGTCACAAATTCTCAAACGCAACCCCTCCAACTTCCGACGAACCACCATTTCTTCCACCTCTTAACCTTCACCGACCCAAAATACGACACTCGCGCAGGCTATAGAAAGCTGCAGTTTCAGCCATCGCCAGTCATTAAGTGCTTCTCATGTTTACAAAGGTTACTACTCCATAGATTGGAATATGTTTAGGAGCGATGCAAAACAGACAACTGACATTTTTCACCCACCGCACCACTTTGCCGGTGTCAAACAACCCTTTGCCCCTCCGTGAGGGTCCGCGAAACTTCTAACATTTTGTACTGGTACAGTCACGAATTGGCAGTGGTCCAGTCAGATATCGAGCACATAGATAGTTCAATCAGCGATGATGGCTGTTACAACTGGGCTTTGCAATATTGGACCTCTTAGTCAAGAAATGATGTTGATGCCCAGGTAACCGGGGGGGGGGGGGGGAACTTCAGGGTTGGTTGTACTCAATAGGAAAAGCAAGATGTACTCTCATGATGAGCCCTACTAGTGTTGGCCTCAAATTGTATTATGAAGAATGGATCATTGGGTGTAGTGAATAAATCGCCAGGAACCTTTCAGAGCACCCCATCACAATTATAGTAGTGACCAAAAGAACCAGATGAGATGACGTTCTGTGCTTTTTCTAAATTGATTTTTTCTTCATTATTTATGGAATTGTCTTTGTTCAAGCCTCTCCAAGATGGTTGTATCCTATGAAGACAACCGAGGATTGCTCAACCCTATTAGGGGATGATTCTTGATTGTTTTCAGGATCTGCAGGTTTGAACGAACGACCGTAGGCCAAACGCAGACCGACCTTTGAGCCTAGTAAAGCTGAACTCTTGGGGAAAGTATTCCCACGAGTTCCTCTTGAATTTTTGTATGTAGATTCCGTAGGAACTTGGAATCCTAAAATTATCATGATCAAAAAAATTATGGCCTTTAGCTATAGTTAGCCGTTTTGTGGGATAGTTTCGAGCGTAGTGCATTTCATTTTGAATACGCTGTCGTCAATTGGCCAACAGGAACGTGGCTTTAAGCCCAAACCGGTGTCGAGGAGACAAGGTGTCGCGTGATCATATCTAAGCCTGAGAATTCCTCATCTTCGCACCCACAACCGAATACAAGGGAATTATCACGAATATATGCACGAGATCGACGGGTTTCATAGTACTAGGGTCATTTGAAAACGGTAGTGTGGAAAAGACTTTATTGAAGGGAACTGAAAGGTATTATTAGGAGGCAGCACTGGAGTAGTGGCAAGTGTATTATGCTGACGACGCGGCGCGCCAGTCGAGATCGTTAATCGGAGACGTCCATCAAGACTAGCCTATCCTTCCAGTTCGTATAATTGCTAACCGAATTGTTTAGAGAATAATAAACGCCTGATTTGTCCTGTCTGGTCCTCGTCATCATTGTTAGTAGCCTAAATCGCATTTCAATCGCTACTCGAATGTACAATGAAAGTAGAATGGGCGCATCCAAAAGGCTTGATAAACACAAGCTGAACGTTTTTTCATTTATATATTTCTCATCAGTCAAGAGTACTGATCAGTAGAAGACTCGAAAGCTTTTAGGAAAGAATGCCTTGACACCAATTGAAAGGAACGCATTTGATAGACCCCTTTCGTATGTGCGCATGCATCGATTAGCCATTGTGAGTTCAGTGGCGTTGAAGCGTTGTAAGCATCGCGTAGCATAGAACTTTACGAAGAACTTTTCATATCTTGGAATTCGGTGTTAATAGTGCGAAATGTTTATGGAGTTTTTTTATATGAATGTGACCAATACAACAAGGTTGAAATAAAATTATTTATTTTCTCTTATAAACAGACAGCGCGATGAAATCGTGTTACTCCGTTTTCTTCACTGAGATTTGAGTTTCAGTCGTTTAGTGAGCTTTTTGTCCAGCATATCCTCCTTGTCCAGCACCTCCAACTGCTGCAAAAAAAATATTTAGAACTATGCATGCTTTGCGATTGGCAAGTTTCCAATGCTTCTGAACTTACGGGCTGGTCCTGGGCCTTCAGAGTATGATGGTCCACCTCCAACTGGGCCTCCTGCTCCTTGAGAGGGACCGGCATATCCGGCTCCACCGCCACCTCCTCCGAGGTTTCCAGCTCCTGGTCCAGCATATCCGGCTCCTCCGGAAGATCCTCCGAATCCGCCACCGCCGCCTCCTCCAAGGCCACCGGCACCAGCGTAGTTGCCTCCAGCTCCACCAGCGGGTCCTCCGAATCCACCACCGCCGCCTCCTCCGAGGCCACCGGCACCAGCGTAGCTGCCTCCAGCTCCACCAGCGGGTCCTCCGAATCCACCGCTGGGTCCTCCGAAGCCACCGGCACCAGCACCGGCGTAGCTGCCTCCAGCTCCTCCAACGGGTCCTCCGAATCCACCGCTTTGTCCTCCGAATCCACCGCTGGATCCTCCGAAGCCACCGGCACTAGCGTAACTACCTCCAGCTCCACCAATTGCTGAAAGATAGGGATTTTATCGTGGAGGCATTCGGACACGTCTATTGCATAAATTCCAATCACTCACGTCCTCCGAACGATTGTGGTCCTGAGAATCCTCCGGCACCTCCGAACGATGATGGTCCTGAATATCCTACGGGGCCGCCTCCGAATCCACCAACTGGTCCGGGTGCTTGAGCGTATCCACCGCCGGCTGGAGCTCCGCATGATGGAGCACCACATGGAGGGGGAGGTGGGGGACAGCCGCATGATGGGGGAGGTGGTGGAGGAGCACTAAACGAGGAAAGGTGATATCTCGGAGCAATAAATGAGGAATCGCTGACAGAATAGAATTGTAGTCGAGCTCACCATCCACAGCTACCACCACCGGAACCTCCGAAGAGGAAGGCGTCAGAAACAGCGAAGACAGCACAGGCGACGTACGCGAACTTCAGCATCCTGGAGTTAAAAGCTTTCAGTCAAATAGTATCATTTAATGAAACCGTGTATTTCAGGAGAGAATTGATAGCAAGAAACGTTGGCGGTACTGTAAGACAGTTGTAGAGCTGTTTTTCACACAGTAATGGTAAGATCCCCGATGGGAGAAAGGAGCTGCTTCAGTAAGCATGTGTTGAATTTGAACGAAAATTTGGCTTTAAAAGGGGATCGTGCATGGGCACGCAACAGGTTCGCCATAGGGAAATAGCGGGATGCGTACGAGATTTAGGTATGAAAGCGGGCCTGAGACAAGGCATTTTCACGGCAGCTAGGGGATATTTGGCGAAACCTGAAAGGGATTTCGAGGGGAGCGCCGCTTAGCCCTTTCTCTGCAATCGTCTCCGACATAAATATCTCTGCGCGCTAAAATGAAAACAGCTAAAATATCTTCCTACGGATCACCTGAGACTGAGCATTGGTCAACTGGAGATTGAGAATATATTGTTACTCTTCACGTTACATATTCAT